GCACAAGCGGTAAATAAACACCACGATACAACTTGAATGCAATTTGAATATGAATACAAGACATTCAGCGCCCTCATATTGGTAGGCAGAGCGCACAATATTTGAAGTGAGCGACGGCGTTCCTGGGTGGTCGCCCGTCTGCGTGAGATAATGAGACTGGATCACTACAGTGCAAGGCTTTTTCAAAGTCACCAACAAAATGCATAAACTTGTAGCATCACAACAAAATTAATGTACGTACTCACAACACTAGGCCACGTGGCCGTGCACGGGGTCCTGTTAACCAGGTCAAATTAGCACCACTCAACGGCACGCAATGCTCTAGCACATCGGTACTTACAATAAAATGTCCACAGAGGCTCTATAGGCGATGAACAACACACAAGCACAATCACCAAAGGCCACGCCGCGCGGCACCGACACTGCTCACATCCGCTCTCTGAGACCAACGGCCGAAAACTGACAGATGCGCGCGGCCTTCAAACCGCAAACGGCCGATCTCGTTTCTGATTGGCTGATTGTTTCCATTTCAAATATCATCTTCACGAGGGTAAACAAGATCCACGCATGAAACGACTATCTGTACCCGAGTCACGATACCCAGGAGGAAAGAGTTTTCGTGATGTTCTGGATCGCGAGAGTAATATTGATATTTACATGGTAATAATACTCTTCGCTGGCGAATAAGTTCATATTAACCACGTACCGTTACTATGTATGCACATAATGGTAGCAGCGAGTTACCCTTTCAATATACTATTATTCATTCATTCATTCCGGTTCCCACCGGTGGTATATTTGAACAGGTACAAAGAAAGCGAGTGAGAGCAGCCCATGGAACAGAAAACAGATGGCGTACATGGCAGTTCTAATAGATAGATGGCGCTGCTCGTGGAAGGGGGTTGGATTTAGGATATGTACATGCTAGTATTGTTAGAGTGGTCAGTCAGTGTTAGTAGTTAAGTAGGTTGTAGGTAAGAGCAGCGCCATTGCCATTAGATTCACACAGTGCATACAGTGAATGCAGCTGAGGAGAAATCTCACATCCCCCTCACGCCACCACCGGGGCAGTGTGATCGCCCAAACGACTGTCCCCACTGCTCACCATCGGCGGCCCACCTGGCCAGGCCGGGACGGTGCCGTCCACGGCCCTGGGGAGAGCTGGGGGATGCCTCCCCAGCCGGGGAGATCTGATGGCTACCTCCCCGGCGCTCCAGGCGGGCCGCCAGCCCCCGCCCGCACCGCCCGGCAAGCAACTCCGGACGGTGCCCCCTAACCACCGACCGGGCGAGCGAAGCGTCGACCCGTCTAGGTCGGCGCTCCGCACGCCCGGCCGGCCGACCGGCCCCTCACAGGAGGGGCCAGTCCCGGGTTGGCCCGGATGGGTCATAGGGGCGGGGGCTTGGGCTTGTTTCGCGCACATCGAGGCCAGGCGCCCAGTCCGGCATTCAGGCGGCAGCATCACCGGCGCTTGAGGCGGGGCCGGCAGCATCCACGACCAGTGGAGCGTCAATTCAGAGCAGGGTCATCATCTGCAGCGGCCGACGTGGCATCCCACCGGCGTCGGCAGGGTCCGAGGTCAGCGGAGGTCGAGGTTAAGCCACTCGCAGAGCGACTCGCGCCGTCAGCAACGAGAGCCCAGATTGCAGCATCCTGGTGACTGTGACGGGCGACTGAGACGGACGCTGGTGGCTTGCTGAGAATCAAGTCGGAGGTAGGTATGGCACGAGTCTGATCGGCGGTGGATCAGAGCCGGATCTGCAGCGGCCGACGTGGCGTCCCACCGGTGTCGGCAGGGACCGAGGTCAGTGGAGGTCGAGGTTAGGCCACTCGCAGTGCGACTCTCGCCGACAGCAACGAGGGCCCAGATGGCAGCATTCTGGCGACTGAGATGGACGTCGGCAGCTTGCCGCGAGTCACATCGGAGGTAGTTATGGCACGAGTCCAGCACGAGTCCGATCATCGGCGGACCACAGACGGATCGGCAGCGGCCGACGTCGGCGTCCCATCCGGCGCCGGCAGGGACTGAGGCCCGATCGGCAGCACAGGCCGCGACAGTTGGAGCCGACATCCCGTCGCCCGTGGCTGAGCTCCGCAGGGCAGCGTAAGCCCAGGCAGCAGAGTGAGCCGACAGTTGAGCAGCGTCCGGAGGGTGCTGGAAACAGGGAGTGAGGTATGTATGTAATGGACATATAGATGGTGATGTCATGGGCATGGGGTAGAGGGGGGGGGGAATAGGATTGATAGATAGCGAACAAATGGCTTCTTAACACTGATTTTGCTTGATATACATGTATTGCGAAAATATATAAACAAAATTGAATGTGCTAATGATATATTCCGGGCTGTACGTGCAATTGTGTGTGGCAAAGGTCACAAGGCTTCCCGTGGCCACTACACAAAGCACAAATTAGTTATTTGATTAAATCATTTAACGACAGGGTGATAAATGATAATTTACGCACAGGTGGATTTGTGGTTACCGTGGTGATAAGATGTAGTTTAAAAAAAAGAAGAGAGAAAAAAAGAAAGAGAAAAGAAGATACAGATTGGCTAGCCGCTCGCCTTGCTCCGGAGTACCGCAAGACGGGTGTGGGTGTGTATCAAGTATATAGAGAGTAAATGAGATTATCTTGCGGGTTTGATGAAAATGAACTCTCCAGGAGGTAGTAAAAAAGTTTTGAGTGTAAATACAAATACAAATACAAATACAGAATGGGATGGTTAGGGACAGGGGTCAGTGTTTGGTATAGGCAGTATTGTTATGTATATTATATGGGGTGTATGGTGGGGCAAATTGAGTGGAAGAGCTCAGCGGCTGACAGTGTTGAGCGATAAACTGCACACTGATACCACTTATGTTGAGACGCCAGGCACATAACAAAACAAAAAACAAAAACAATCAAACACATTCACACAATGTTATACACGTATCTTACGTTCTCCTCAATTCCTCAATCCGTGAAACTGCCCAGTGGCATGCCATTGCATGTATGAATAAATAAAAGAAAGATAAATAAACAAATGAATAAAGACATAATTTATCGGCATGAGGAACTTACATTATACATGTGCGCTCTACAGTTGGGTCTATTGCATTTTCTTCTGCAGAAAAAACTATCATTCATAACTTTTATTCTATTGTTTCATTCCGCAACATAGTGCGACGGGGTAACACACATAATTTATATGTTTGAGAATGACAGACGTCAGGGTCACGGTGGCGCTTGTTGTCAACCTTCCGTGCTCAGCTTATTTTCGCCGCAATAATTGTTCGATGTTCCATGACATGTTCACGCGCCACGGGGAGGCTAGTATCCTGTAAACAGCCTGGCTGCTCGCCAACTGGCACCAAAAAAGCTCGACAAATGATCGAGCTTTCATGGTCAACAAATGAAACGAATGGCTCGGCTCAGTTTTAGCATGATAGAACCGATAATGCTGTAACTATTACTTATTAATAAGTATATACGAGTATGCATATAATGTTACCTATAGCCCATGATTTGTTTTCTTTTTTGGCTCCTGTCGATGGCACCCTACAGAAATGAAAGAGATTGCCTCTGAAAGTGTTAAGAGCTCGCGCTTGGAGTCGTCTAAATTGACTTTTTGCCTCAACCAAGATGTCAAATCATCTTGATGTGCCAATAAATGATTGGTATTGGCCGTTTTCACGACGGAATAGCAGGCATCTATTTAATCCCCATTTGATCGTTTGGTTCCTCAGGAATTTTAGTAGTTCTTTTTAGTAGGTTCCCCAGCTTTCGAATGAATGGTGCGTTAGTTTGCTATTTTTCTATTAAATATCACATCGATTTACTTTATCTAAGGATTTATCACTATAGTTCGTTTATTTTCAAAAGGACGCTGGCTCAAAGTTCAATATCGAAGCTCTCACGTGAGTTTTGGCAGCTTCAGTGTCTGGTCAAGAATTTCTTACCGAAAAAATAATCGATTTCAAATTGTGCACGGTAAGTAGCTGGAAATCTATATTATGAATTATAACATGTCCGTGCGTGCGTGCCTGCGACTGTCATGCCTTATGTGTCTTATTGCGCCTGAAAGGCGCCGCGTAGCGACGTGAAATTTGGCATGCCGAATCGATGGGTTGATGTGACCTCTGTATTAAAATTTGGGACGGATCGGTCCAGGGGTGCGCCGTCGGCACGTGCAAAAGGGTGCTCCCATAGGCTTAACACGGGGACGGCGAAAACCGCCAACGGGCGAAAATCGGGCTTGCAGCGCTCCTCTCCCGGGCTTATAACTCGGCGATGGGTGACCGCAGCGAGATGGGATTGCCACCAATGGATAGAGGAGAGATGGAACTAGCGTATCGATATGGTTTCATAGCATAGCACGCGCCACGTGCAAGACAGCACCCCCGGTTGTCAAAAAATGACCGATTTAGTGCATTGTGACGGGAAAATGGATGCCGCTGGAAAACGGCCTGACGGAATGAAATCAGTGTGGTGCCATTTTACAGACAAATGTACGTGTAATGATAGGAAAGCAAATAAAAACTGATGATCCGTACCATTTCCTTAATAATGAAAAAATAATTGGAAAATTTGATTCGCGCGGAGCGCGATGTCCTTTACAACATCAAAACGTATTGAAAACGCTTCTCAATCGCTATGAAACCTACATATTCGGAAAGACCATTCTTTTCTGACCAATATCCACCCAAAATATTATCGAAAAGTCAATAAACTTTCGTGAAAATGACTCAAACATACGACCGTGTTTTGTTAACGTTACCGGTATTTTTCGACAAAATCCGATCGATGGCTTATGGCCGGCAAGTCATTCAACTTTTGACAATAGCTATCAAAGCATGGGCTGCAATGCACCGCCCGCCAAGAGGAATTCGGAAACACAAAATAGGTGCTCCCCAGTAAACAACAAATTTGTATTAGCAATAACTTAGCCGGTACTGGGCCGATTGTGCTGAAACTTTGACTGTGGGTGGAGGGGGCACTCACCTGGCGATGCACGGCCATGTGTCGCAGGTGGGGTGGACCGATTGCACGTGCGCACGTGAGGGGTCCACTTATACATCTCAAGAACGGCTGGGCCGATTTCGCTCAAATTTTGTTCACTGTTGGGGACAATTTAGAAAGGTGGCTGGCACAAGTCATATGGAGTCTCAGTTAGCGCGTGCGCACGTGCAGCGGGCCAGTTTTATATCTCAAGAACGGCTGGGCCGATTGCGCTCAAATTTGGTACGTTACTTTAATCGAGTATGAGAAGGTTAACTATGTGTAGGTTATTAGTAAGGTAGCATATGGGTAGGTTAGGGTAGGGTAGGGTGGGTTTGAGTTCGATAAAGGCAAACCATGAGAAAGGCTCTAACAACCCGCAACCAGCACCAGCATACCATGCCGTTCAAACAAATATCCAACTCCGACAAAATAAGACAAATAAAAATCAAAAGTTCCCACACCCAAAATAATGCCTCCTCAAATGCATCCATCAAAACGCACAGTTATAGTGCAAAACATGCCATCTAGTTGTTGCTTAAAAATGAACATGCAATGATTACGTCACTGGTGGCAGCAGGCACCCAAATGTCCGTGCAATGGGACGAGTGTCAACGAATTTGGGTGAAACTTAGTTTTTCACTGATGCCGACCTTATAATGTTGGAGTCAGCTGTTGCAGCTGACTGTGTAAACAGCTGTCTGGTGAGCTCCGGCTAATCTAATTGTTATTTCGGTATTCTGAATCTTCCGTCAATCTAACTGTTTCCGATCGATTAGACATACATTTCTGTCTTTGGTGGGTAATATTTTTTGTCAAGAAAAGTTAAAGATATGTGAAAACAAGACCATGGCAGAAGCGTCGGAGCAAAGGTGAACACGTATTTTCGGGCTGGTTTTCTCTTGACGAGTGGAGAAGAACCCAATTATTTTTTGGGTACATCAGAACGTGACGTTGTGACAGTGGATCCTTTGATATTACAGTCGTTATCTGTAACTGACGACCAAAATAAAATACATACACCACCAACGTTGGATTCCTATCACTGAAACATAGAAGCTGAATTGACATTTTTGCTAAGATGAATTCTTCTAGCAAGGCACCTGATATCGGCGAGATCCTAGGGGACTTGAAGAACTTCTTCCTTCGTGACCCAGCCAATGCGAAGGAACAGATCGCAAGACTGGATGAACAGTCTCTCCGAAGCCTCCGAGACCAGCTCCACTCGCGTCTCGTGGAAGAAATGCCATCTACAGCGGGGCGCCCTCTCATAAAAAGGAAGCCTAACAATGTAGCAAAACTTGCCGATGACTGTTGGGCGCTCGGTGCTTCGGTAGCACAAGAAGTGCTGCTGAAAGAGGCTGAATGCGCGCTGAAGCCACCTGATCGTGCTGTGCCAGCCAACATCCAGCAGCCTGCAATTGCCACGCAGACCCCGTCCTCACCGAATACGGCTAATATCGAAGCCATACTGGACAACGTCATGCGAATGGATCGGGAAATCCAAGAGCTTCGAGCGGCTGATGCCAAGCTGAAGGGGATCGTCTCAGCTCAGCAAGTCCGCATCTCGAACCTAGAAGAACGGGCGGCGAGGTGCGCCGCTCGGGACGAGAGCCCGTGCCAGCAGAACGGCCGGCCTGGGCACGCTGTTGCTCACGACCAGGCGAGCCACGCGATCCGGTCGGCTTCATCTGAGCACACAGCGTCTACAACGACAGCTCCGACCGAAGGGAGCCAGCGCCACGAGTCAGTGAATGCCGCCACATCGCTAACAACGCAGCAGGATCCAATCGAGCCAGTGGAGGCAACCCTGGAGCCGACACGGAGGAACCAGGCGACGGAGAACGCTGAGACACAGTGTCCTGTCGCTCCGCCGCGAGACCTGCCGCTGTCACGCGCTCCTGAGCTGTCTTCAGAAAACCAGCCGTGCGTGCCGAATATGGTGAACACTTCGCCTCCAGACCCGAATCCCCCGGGTGGAGACACTGCCGCCGGAGGTGTCTCAGTCGGCCCACAGCGGCTCTCGACCCGTGCTAGTGAACCCCAGCAGTCGACAACAGCGCCTACAAACGAAAGAAATCGCTCAGCAATGGGATTCAATACCGAGCTGGCCCGTGCACTCGACATTGACCGTCTTGCCAAAGCCATAGTGGCAGTGATGGATCAGCGCACCACCTCCCGGCTGGGTACCGATGAAGAAGACAGCAGCGACGACGTCGGACCTACAACGCAAGCTGAGCGCCCGCGGGCTCAGCACCCGAACCGTCGCCAGCGATCAGTCAGACGGGCTCCAGCGAGCCGTCTCGACGGTAGTCCCAGAGCTCAAACTCGCCGTAACCAACCGAGCAACCCAGTCCGTCAGCAGCAGCAACTGCAGCCGCCCAGGCAGACTCAACGTCAGCCTTGGAAACAACAGGGACGCCAGCCGCCACACCAACAGCCATGGCAGCCGCGTCAGAATACATCGACAGTTGCGGGCGTCCCGCAATCAAGACCTCCCTGGCTGCCGGAACAGCAGTGGCATTGGCCACAACAGGGTTCTCAGCATATGTACCCACAGCTGCCGCAGCAGTTGACCAGACCTGCGGGCCACTGGGAGCAGCCGATCCACGAACAGCTCCGGCCCCAGTATCCGGAGAGAACACCGGCCTGGTGGGCCCCTCCCACTCCCATCGGTGCACCCCCGCCCCAGTTCTGCCAGCAACCGCCTCCAATGGCGGCTCCGCAGCAGCGGCAGCCTGCTGCTCTTTGTCAACCACCGCAGTCCCAGCACCTAAGGAACGAGCCGTCGCAAGGAGATTGCGATCAGGCACGCTTTCGCTCTGAGACGTGGCCGAGCCTACCGCGTCAGCCGGAACCAGAGCAGCGCCCAACCGTCCCGTCAGTCGGCGCAGCTTCAGCTCCCCCATCGTTCTGCAGCTACGGCAACCGATGCTGCCTCGGCTGCCGGCTCTGAGGCGACTGGACGAGCGACTCCAACCTCCTGCGGACAATGCCAGCTACGTATTGGGTGCTACAACTGCGAGGGATTCATGAGTGCCGCCGCCTACATTGCTGATCTCTTCACGAGTCTAAACGTGCTGTTCCTATCTGAAACTTGGATGTGTAGTGCGGAAGAAACTTTACCGAGTGGCGTTCTTGGGAGCTTTGGCGTGGGTGACGTTGACATTTTTCAGACATTTGCAATGGAGTTGCCACCCGGGGCTGGCGAGGGGCGCCGGCATGGAGGGACGGCCATGATATGCCGCCGAGACAGCCGATTCTCATTCTCCCAACTACAGTGTGAGAACGATAGACTTTTAGCAGTGCAGATGGTGTGTGGCGGAGCACCGCGTCTCACCATAGTTGGCTGCTACATGCCCTACTTCACTGGGACTCCGGATCAACTAGAACTTTATATGGACCTGTGCGCTAGTCTTGAAGCCCTCATAGATACGCATAGGTTTTCCGCGCCGCTCATGCTAGTCGGAGACTTCAACTGTCCTCTCCCGTGTCTCCCGCCGGCAACCCGTCCTCGCCAGTGGGCAAAGCTGCGCGGATTCACCCCCTTCAGCCAAGCATTCCAGCGACTTCTGGATGAAAGAAGCCTTACAGTCGCTGAGTTCCGCTTCTCTCAGCCAGTGAATTTCACGTATGAACGCGGCGGTCACACGTCCCACATCGACCACATCATCGTGCCTGGCAAACTTGCAGATGAACAGCTTCTGTCATGTTCTATCATCCCGCCTTCTTATGACAACCTCAGTCCCCATCTGCCTATAACATGTACTCTTCTGCTCCAAATAAACGTTGAAGAGAGGGAAAGACCAGCGCCGCGAGACCACTCTAGTTCTCACCGCACGGTACTGGATTGGAACAATTCCGACAGGAATCAAAGGTACTGTGAACTGCTCTCCACGCAGCTGGAGACAGTGGTCCAGCCAAACCTCAGCGCCGATCAGATAGACTGCCTCCTGACGTCAGCCATCCATCAAGCTGCAGCTGAGGCCGGCTGCTCCCGGCCCCGAAGACCGCCAAAGTCCTGGTGGAGCCCTTCAGTGTCGGCAGCACGGGACCGGGCGCGCCTGTGGCATCGCATTTGGACTCACGCCGGTCGACCACGGAATACGGTCCTGCACAACTGCTTCAAAGTTGCGCGTCGTTCATACAGGCAGGCCCGGGTCGATGCAGCACGTGCCCAGGTTGATAACAGCGCAAATCTCCTGTCATCGCTGCGTCAGAAGAAGGACATCAATTCGTTCTGGCGCCGTGTAGAGCAGGCTCGACGTGGCTCGGGCGGTTTGCGCTCCTCGCTCACGGCAGACAGCCTCGAGGCCCACTTCCGCCCCATTCATACGGACGAGGACACCCTCTCTGCAGCCCAAGATGATGTGCGCACCCGAGTAGAAGCCCTGCTGTCCCAGGCGAAAGAAGATCCTGGCCCCGCTAAGCGTGTCACTGCAGGAGATGTAGCTCGCTTGATCCCGCAAATCAACCGCAACGCATCACCAGGACCGGACGGCGTCACCGCTGAGCATCTTGTCTACGGCTCTTCAGGACCACTGCACGAGGCTATCGCCTCTCTACTCTCTGCCTGCCTCGCTGAAATGCGTGTCCCTGTCAGTTTCACATGCAGCACAGTGGTGCCTATCATGAAGAAGACCGGACTGGACCCCGACTCTGCCGATAGCTACCGCCCCATCTCTCTCGTGTCGACTATCTCCAAACTTCTGGAACTGATCCTTCAGGAAGAGATCGACACGTCATTTGAGGCCTCTGAACTCCAGTTTGGGTTCTTAGGGCATAGGGGCACCAGCGAAGCGTCTATGCTTGTACACGAGACCGCGCAACATTACCTATGCTATAAACTCCCGCTGTTTGCAGCTAACCTCGATGCTAGGAAATGTTTTGATCGTTTGTGGCATGATGGCGTCCTCTTCCGAGCGAGTGAGCACCTCCCACGCCGGAGCTGGGCGCTTCTGGCCTATTGGTACTCTCACCTGTCAGCCCGAGTACGTTTTGGTGGGAAGCTGTCAGACGCC